GCTTGCCAGGCAGGCACTTTGCCGCTGAGCTAAATCCCCAGCATCTTCTTACCATTCTGTGATATTTTCATTTTGATTTTTGCTGATCTCATGAGTGGAAACGGTACCTCAGATCTAAAAGAATGTTCATAGGCAGCATGGTATGTGAGCACAAACATAAAGAACAACTGGAAAGAATGTAGGTATCCATTAACTGGAAAATAATGACAAGTAATTTTGACATTTTGTAGGTTTTGGAATACTACTAGAAGTCAGGATTAGTAGAATATAGTGGTATACAGTGGTATATAGTAATGGCGATGAGTCATACGGTATCAAGCAAAAAAAGCATAACATTCAAAATCATGCAAAATTAATGCATTTGTGAGAGAGAAGTGTATACATGATAGAATTAAAAATGAAAGCAGCCCATTTTCAGTAAATACAGATCACTCTCAGAGTGGCAGGAGTTTTCTAAGGGCCAGAGAGTTACCAGTAGCGCTATCTGAGGGGTGGGGAATATGAAAAGTATGCCTTGCGAAGACAGGTGAAAGGAAAGATTGATTTTCTCTGACACATCTCTGTGCAGCTTGTTACATCCGTCTTTGCTTTTAAAGTTTTTGAGAGTTCTAGCTTGTAGGAATGTGATAGTTTTCTTAAAAAAATTTCTGCATTAGTTGGTATGTAGAATGTTCTCTGGAAATGATAAATCTTTGCTAATAAGCTTTTGGAGTTTGTAATTACTTTTTTAACCGTATAAGCCCTTTCTCAAACAGTGTTGCAATATTTACTGTAAAGGGGTAATATGGAGTGGTCATTTTGAGAAGTACTTGGCAAAATTAAAAGGACAGTGTTTGGGGCTCCAGCAGACCCAGGCTGGCACTTCACCTTTTCCATTTACTCAGTCAGTTGCTTCCTTTCTCTGACTTAGTTTCCCTAATGGTAGGAAATACATTCTTACTTACCTCTTTATTATCTGCTGTTTTTGCTTCTTTCTTTGCTTCTCCCGTTCATCCTGGAACCATGCTGCTTAGCTGCCCATATCTGTTGGTTATCATCATGATCTTTGTTATCATTGTTAGGGAATAGTATGGATGTAAATTTATAGAGTCCATGACAAACAGGTGCTTGTGAATTTCAGGAACCTTGTTCTTTGGTTGTTATCTAAATGGTATATGTTTCCCCTGTAAAAATCTGTGTGAAGAGAGACGTGGTGGTGCACACCTGTAATCCCAGCAGCCTGGGAGGCCAAGGCAGGAGGATCACAAGTTTGAGGCCAGCCTAGGCAACCAAGTGACTGTGAGATACTGTCTCAAAAAAAAAAAAAAAAAAAAAAAAA